CAGGACAAACAGTGATGGGCCTGCTATTTCAGGGCTCAGCAAGGTTCCATTGCTAAGTATAAAATACTCTTCAAATGCAATGTGGCACATCTCTTAAGTTATAATAGACCCACTAACCCATCATAAGTATTGCTTATCCAGTGTAGGGGAAATGAACCAAGACCTTCAGGTCTAAGATTTAGCAAACCTAGTTGCTCTGGACAATGTGAGGAGGCAGGCAACAGCCCAGCACACAAGGTAATATTTTAGACTGAGTGATGGAATTCTGCTTGGCAGAATTCTGCTTGGCAAACCCCCTGTAATCAGGAAAGCTTTATAGGTACAAATTTGTATCCTGCCTAACTTGTCTCTTTCTTGTCCAGCTTATCCTCTGGGGAACCTGCAATGCATCTGGCTTCTTTGACAATTGCCACTTCCTTTGTGCACAGAGCCAGGTAGGGCAATGTGGATATTTCAAGAAGTCTAACATTTTCCTGGGACTTCCCATCCCTTATGGGCCTCCCTCCACACCTCTATCTGTATACTCACTCCCTCTATCAGTCTTGATTTTTCAAATTCCTCCTTCTTTGCTGTCCCTTCTTTTATGATCCAATCCCCTCCATTCCTGGCATGGACTCTCTGTTAGTGAATCTTTTAGTCTCTCCCCAGATCCCTGTCAACTTGATCATTCTCCTCCTTACTCTGTACCTCCTCTAATATTCTTTGTGTCCTTTTCTACTCAATTTATTCTACTTTTCTCTAAGCCACAAGATCTCATTATCTTTCTATTATTCATTATCCCCTACCCAGTTGGATGTTTCCCTTCATAGGTCACACCCCCAACCTCTCCCTTCTCACCCTCTGCTTATGCAGTCATCTTTTCATCTCCCCTCCCTGAGAGTCCATCTCTAGTTCTTACCCTCCCACTCTCCAGACCACACCAGCTAAATCTTATTCCATTTTTAGATAACTGATTATCTAGCTGAACTTCATTTACAGCCTGAATTGTCAGCTGCTCCTTCCTTTCTTTTATGCACCATGCACCCAACACATCCAATTTTTTTCAACAAGACAAGTGCTTACACACAGCATATGTACACATAAATGTGTATTTTTCAAAACAAAACAAGTTATGCTGGCAGAGATGCTGGGTTATCAAGGATCCTTATGCTTTCGATACAACTCTAAAGATAACATTTTTTGTGTATCTAAAAATTATACATTTGTCTCCACAAATTTGGAAAATGAACCCTAACAAGATGACTTTTTTACCAAATCATAGACATAGATATGGAAATCATCATCAAATTTGATGAAGTACACAGAAGGTTTGGCTTTAACTTGATGAATGACTTTGCCTGTCCTTTTGGAGCCATCTTCTTTGGTATATTCCACATGTTTACCTATCAGACCATCTATAACCCCATCTGGCTCCCTCTCTGCTGGAGATTCACTGGACTCTGCCATGATACGGAGGTCACCTTCTTTATAATCATCTAGAAGCTGGTACATGTACAGGACAGGATCTTTCTCATAGGTAATATAAAACCAAGTTTTCATGATTGGTGCTTGGGCTAAGACCATCCCCCTCCATTCATCCTTAGAACCATGCTCACCCTCAAACATATGTTCCACTGCTTTGCCAATTATAGTATTTGCAAGGCGCATATTTTTGACTCTAGAAAATGGCACCTTATCTGGAAGGATTTTAAGCTTTAAAATCCTTTCATCTCTGTGAAGTTCCAGTCCATAGACACAGTCAATTCCATCATATTTCACCAGATAAAGAGAGGGATTTATAGGCACCTGATCCAGAACAGTTCCTTTCCACTGGGTAATGGGATCATCACCTTCCTTCCATCCATGAGAAATTCTGCAGCCCACGATGTTCCTGCAGGGCTGGGAGGAAGGTCTGCCTCTCTGCCTTTTTTTAGAGGTCTTTTTCTTCCTCCTGCTAGTAGACCCAGTGTGGTGACTTACAGCTTCCCTAGTGCGTTGCTGTAGAGCTGCCTTTCTGTGTAGGGTCTTCATACCTGCAGGCAGAGGAGAAAGGCGAGGGAAAAATATTCAATATGCTATCTTCAATGTAGTATACCTTTTTTCTTTGTATCATGAAGTCCCTGTACACACTGCTGCCCATTATTTATGTGTTCAGCAACGTTAGATTATCAAGACACTCTTGGATGCCTGCCTGCAGAGCTGTCCTTCCAGGCTTGTTGGAAATGTAGGAAAGCTAGACAAGAGGTGACTATATTGGTTGTGATGATTTAAACCACAGCAAGAGGAAGTAGGCACTCTTCTGTATATTGCCTGGCTCCCTAACATCTTAATGTCCCCTCCTCCTCTTACTTACCATTTCTAAGTCCACCTCTTCATCTCTCCATTTCTCAGCATACATTCTTCATGTCTCCTGTCCAACTGCCTTCTGCTATTCTTCCCTCCTGCCTTTCTAATCCCATGCCTCCTGTCTGGTGCTCACCTCTCTTTCATCTCTCTTCCTGATTGTTCCCATTTTCCTACTGGCTTCCACAAGAATCCTTTTCCTTTCCTTTCATTGTTTATTTTGTGGCCACCTTTATACACCATCCTGGTGTTTTTTGGCTCCCACCTTCTCACACCCCAATCACCCGTCCCACTCTCTCTCATGTCTTATCCCAGCACCCACTCCATTTTTCCCACCCTGGGTATCAACCCCCATCCTCTGGTTCTATAGTCCAGTGTCCCCCTCCCAACCGCCCAAGATCACTGGTCTCACGTGCCCAAATTGAACTCCTTACTGCTACTTCCGTTAAGAGCCTGTGGCAGATGACGCTCAGTAGGTGACCAGCTGAGAGCTGAGAGGGAAGGATCTGTTAGCAAGGAGCTTTGTCTAGTAGGGCGGCGGGGCAAATTAACAGGTCGATGGCAGCGACGTCCTCACGGTTAAGCCTGCAGACCCTCCGCCTCCTTTTTGGTGGCGGCAGTCCCTCTGCCACATCAAGATTCCATCCGCAGCTGCTGTAGTCTCCTCCCTCTTTCGTCGCGTAGCTTCCTGCCAGGATATAGGCCTCCCCTTCCTGCCAAACACATAGCAACGGCTCCTCTAAATCCCCCAAACCTCCATTAACACACCCACCCCCCAAAAACCCCACCCCAATTATGGTTGACTTCTTTAAAGCAGCTCACAGTACATGTTGTACAATTTTTGCTGCATCTTTCTTTCTCTAAGAGCTGACCAAGACAGGCTAACAAAAACAGACTTGTGTTTGTACTGCGTGGTTCACAGGTACCTTTCCAAAATGAAAAGCTAGATGAACTCCCAGAAAGGAATTTATGGTAGGAGGAGAGAAATATGCTAGTGAGTCAGTCTGCTATCTTGACCCAATCTCTATGAAATTTTTTCTAACCAGTTCTTATGGGCAAGTATTGGTGGCATTTTTTCCCCGAATGCATAAGAATTGCATGCATAAAATGAACATAGTGTAAAATTTAAAAAAATGACTTGAAGAGGAAAAAAATCAACTGCAAGCCTATCTCCCATTCCTTAGGGCTTACTGCAAAATAGTTTTTATTATTTCCTTTGCCTTTTTTTCTAAGCTATTAGAAAGCTTGCATCATTTTTGCAAATTGAGATGTTAAAAAATTTTTGTAAAACTATTTTAGTTGATATTTTGAAAAATATAAATAATATATAACAATATTAGAAGTACTAAATACACCTTCATGTATTCCATGCAATTAATGGAATTAACATTCTATACAAATAATGTTAATTACTCTTGTTAAAACAAAAAATAAAACAGTAGCAATAAAATGTAGTTCTCTTTTATCTCTAGCAGTAATCCTGTTTCCTCCCACCTGTATAATATTAACAACCATCATTCAATTTAGTGTATTCTTAAGACTTTTTATGTATTTATGTAAGCTATATTATATAATTACAAAGATTTTTAAGGTGTATAAAATTTGACATATATATATATTTACTAGCAGACACTATGCATTGTATGTCTCATATTAATTTCTAAACATGTACATTATAAAGGATAGTTTTTCCACATGGTGAGAAAAAAAAGGAAAACTCTCTTCAATGGCATACATCTGAGAATTCAGGGAGATGGTGATTCTGAGTGTTTATGACCCAGGAAAATACTGTACAACTGATGAGAATATGACAGCTCTTTATTTTGTGAAAATAAATGATCTTGTACTAAACTTTATCTAGTATTTGATTTTTATGACTACATAAATGCATCCTTAAGGATATACCAGAATTTTTTTTCTTCACAGGTACATTGTCAGCATGCTTAAAATAGAACTCTGAAATAGTTCATAATGTAAACTAAATGTTAAACGTGAAATTTATCCTGTTTTAGTTATCTTGAAACTTGCTTTTTTCTTTCAATATTTTGTTTTCAAAATTTGTTATATATCTAATATTCCTTGTCATGAAGTCTATTTTAGAGTACATATAAGTGATATTTTAGGTCATCCAAAGAACAATGTATTCAAACATATATTCTGCTGTTGATGATCTTTTTGGTTCATTCCAATATTTAATTCTTACAAACAATGCCATAATGAATATCTTTGCATGCTCATACTACAGTTTTTGTAGTGTACATATTAGAAGAAAAAGAGCTAAATTATATGTATAAACACTTTAGATTTACTAAATACAGCCAAATTGTTGGGTAGGCTATATAAGTCAACATAGTATATATTCCCTGCTCCCCACAACCTGGCCAACTGCTGATATTTTCACATTTTTGGTATATGCCAAACTAATGAGTGATGAATGATAGCTCATTGTTTTAATTTACATTTTTCTGATTATTAGTGATATAGTAATTATTCTCCTTTGTTTGGCTATTCAGTATTCCTATTTTGAGAATTCTTTTTATGTTTTATTTTATGCTGTTTCTTTATGATTTACTAATACATTTGTATAGTCTTTTATCTTTTAAAAATTTAGAAAAGATAGAAAATAAAAGGAAAGAGAAAGAATTTTTCCTTCCTTTTCTTGCTTCAGGGTCTGGAAATAGATATGGACTGACCAGGAGCTGTACACCAGTGGTGTTGGGCCCAGAAAAGGGCAGCACATGCCTGAGATGGAGATTCCTGTGAATGTCCTTTTCTAGCTTCTGGGATCTGGGAGAGAAGGAGAAGTAGCTGGGAGCTGCACAGTAGTGATGGAGGAGGTGCAAATTGAAACCACAATAACATACCACCTAACCACAGTAAGAATAGCTAGGATTAAAAAATAAAGTGATGGAACCAGCAGTTAGCATAATGGCTATGTCGCTGGACTCCCACGTAGTCGACCACGGTTTGAGTCCCAGACCCAGTGGCTTAAACTCACGCCAGGCGCGTGTGCATGCGTGCCCAAGATCCTGGGAGGAGAACAGGGGAGAAGGGATTGCGGCATGGCCATCCCCCCTGGGGGGTGATTTCTCACTTTCTGTCTCTCTGTCTCTCTCTGTCTGTCTGGCGAGCGCACATGCCCTATAGCAAAAACCTCTCCAAATAAATAAATAAATAAATAAAGAGTGATAGGTGTTGATGGGGTTGTGGAGAAAACAGAACTCTCCTCCACTGTTGGTGGATATGTAAATTAGTACAGCCACTGTTGAGTACGATATGGAGGTTCCTGAAAACCCTAGAAATAGAACTACCAAATGATCCAGCAATTCCACTTCTGAGTATCTTCCCAAAGAATAAAAATACACTTATTCAGAAAAACACTTGAATATTTATGGTTTTTTTTTTTGCAGCATTACTCACAATTGTTAAGACATGGAACCAACCCAATTGTCCACTATCACATGAATAAACTGAAAAAGTGTGGAACATATAAACTGTGGAATATTACTCAACCATAAAAAAATAATGAGACCCCAGTATTTGATAAAAAGTGGACAATGAGGAATACTTACTACAAAGCATAGCAAGCCAGATTATAAAAAAAGAGGTGTTGTATGTCTCCACTTAATATATGACAAATGCCTGTGGTCTATGGCAGAAACAGAAAGATTGGAATGTATAAAGCTGTGGATAGCAACCATGATAATAGAGACAGTTTGGGAGGAGGTTGGAAAATGGGGAAGTGTGAGAGTGAGGGAATCAAGGGGAAAAAGAAAGAAGCAAAACCTTTAATAGACACAAATAGAAAATTGTTCATAATAATATATGTGGTAATATCTTTTACTGAAGCAATATAGAGTGTATTCACAACAGGAAAATTCATTTGGTATGCTATAATAATATACAGTGATTGAATGTAAATAAATTAAAATAAAACATTTAAAAATTAAAATAATATTTTAACTAAGTACCCAAAATTTATACCTTAATTTATAAATATGTACAATTATGGATGACCTAAAAAGAATAGTTACCAAAAAATGCTTTGATTTGTACACTTTAAATTGGTGAGTAATATAGTGTATGAGTTATATCTCAATGAAGCTCTTTGAAAATAATATCAAATGCCTGTCTATGGTATGCAACAGTGATAGCCAATAAATACATTCAGTAATAGGCCATTTACTGAACGGTATTTGTGATCCAAAGTGCACCACTGCCACCTGTAGCTTGTCCAGAAAGGTAAAAACATGACTCATTGTTTTCAAGGACCATAATATTGTGTCCAGAGGTGGTGTGTTGGATTGAAATAGCTACATCTTAATATGAAAAATTGTCTACAGTGGTGAGGTATAATCGATAAGGCTCTAGAAGAGGTAAAAAATAAGTTAACGTGGCAGGACCAGCAAATGGCATAAAGGGTATGTTGCTGGACCCCTACGTATTTCACTGCAGTTCAAGTTCCGGATCCAATGGCTCAAAACTCCCTTGGGACATGTGTGTGTGTGTGCATACCCAAGAGGCGATGAGAGGAGAAGGAATTGTGGTGTGGCCATCCCCATTAAGGGGTGATTTCTTGCTTTTTGTCTCTCTGCATTTCTCTGTCTCTCTGGTGAGGACACACATCCTATAGCAAAAATCTCTCTCTAAAAAAAGTTAATGTGGCAGATGATAAATCGTGTGTGGGAAGTAACATCCCATGTAGTTTGACAACTCTCACTAATGGATAAGCTTTGGAAAGAGTTACAAATCTGGTTTGTGTGATGGCTTTTGAAACAAAAACAGTCATCTAGTTTGATTCCACTTATAAATGTAGTTTTGCCATGTCCAATCTAGTTACAGTCTTGATTCTGTCAAGAACCATAACATCTAGGTTACTCAGTCTGGATAAGAATTCAGTCTCATCAAAAAATGATCTTCTGCTTTGGTCATCATCTACATATATGACTCAGATGATATGAGCAGAAGTAACAATTAGTTTCTATAGCTTCTTGCCCCAAGGAGAGATGTTTTTAATCTGAAATTCTGTAGTTTTTCAAGTGGCATACAAACAACCAGCCATTGTCACTATCCCATGAATCAGTAAAAACAACAAACTTTATCTATAGGAATATTATTCAGAGCTAGAACAGTCTTGAGTTCTTGTCACTGAGGAGAACATTGGTATCTGGTTTTATTCTGCATAGCTGACAGTGAGACTGAACATATGCAGCACTCAGTGGAAATCAATATGTTTCAGCTTATCCAAATAACTGATGAACTGGTTCCAGCAGTTAGTTGAATCTCTGTGAGTCAAGGGACTTCTTTAATTCAGGTGGCAGACCTGTGAGATAGTTTCTCTGAAAAGGATTACAGACACTTGTTCACGTAAAGTCTCTATGCCACTGGGATGAAGTCAAGTAAACTTCTCAATATACTATTTACTTTTGACAAGTAAAGCTTTTTGAGACCATCTCCACATTATAGGTATGAAGTAAGAAATGACTATCCCAAAAAGGGACTTCTGGCTGGAGAAACACAAAGCCTCCATGGTTCAGGTGCTCAGTTTTGTAAAGGGCCCAGAAGAACACTAATAGGTGCATTTCAAAGGAATGTATATGGTATCCATGTCAGGAAGAAAAGGAATTATAAACCCCAAGGTGCACTTCCAGGTGGAGAATGTTTTTCTTTATTCTCTTATTTTCTTTTTTTAAAAAAACATTT